TCAAAAAGTAACTCCTTCCTGAAGGTGATATTAGACATAATTAAAATAAGTTTTCGAATAGATTTTTTCTTCTACATCAAAGAGATTGAAAGGAAGTTGAGGCAAGTCGAAACCCATCGAATTCAACAAAATCGCTAGATTATCGAGATCGGGTCGAAAAAAATTTGTTTCCACACACATCTACTTATGATTATTACTCTACTACTGATGTTTTAGAAATATTATTAATTTAATCGATAGTGTAATTGAAAATGATAATGAGGTCACCATCCGTTTTCATCGATAAAATTCTTAGATGTTTCATATTTTTATTTAGATTAATTATGTACGTTTCTCAAAATTCAATATATCTTTTTATTCAATGTGCAAAAAAAACAACGATATGATGAAAATTATATGGATTTCAGATAACTGTATTTCATGTATCTAATTAGGATATTTTAAATTATTGAGTAAGTTAAATTTTTTTGCTATTAACTGTTGTAAAATTGTCTGTCTTAAGGTTAAACATCGAACAGAAATTAAAGAATGACATATATTAGTTTGTTTGAGAAAGAAAGAAATCGTGTAAATAGAAGCATAATACATGAAAAGATACATTTATAAATGATAGCAAGGATTAAAAGTGCTATTAGAATAATTTTCTATTAAATTGCAACTCATTTTACTACTAGACTTCTCATATATGCAATTACACAATCTCTATTTGATGTTTAAGGTCCAGAATACAAACATGATATTTTTCTCAAAAATTATGCTATGAGTAGTAATGATCAGTGTTTAAAAAAACGTGTAAGATCAGTTACAGAAAATTTTATACTATGTTCTCTTCGAGAAAATGAATTTTTACTGATTTCATTTTCATTTGAATAAAATTATTTCATATTGTTACATTGAGTAGTAATTAGAATAAACTTTTCTTGTAAAATTTTATGTTTACAAATGATGAAAAACTAGTCAACAATTATTATTTTCTGATCTGTACATAGTACTTATTCGTTTGTCTTGTATTTTACATGAAAAATCTTTTAGAATATAAAAAGCTATATAGTAAATAAAATTCAATTACATAATATTAAATATTATTAGTTTGATTTTTGTGGAACTAAAACTTAACAGAAATGTTTTGTTTACTTAGAATGCTTTTCAATAAACTAGGGAAAATTTTTTTTTTACTTAGCTTTTGTTTAATATTACTTTGTATTTTATTGGGTACCCTTTTTGAAATTTAAAACGTGTATAATATGAGTGAATACTGGTAGATATAGTCTCATATCGGATGTGGGTGTAGGTTTGAATAAAGGCCAGAAATACATCCACACTCAGTTTCGTTTGAATAAGAGAGTATGGCAGACGTTGAACTAATAGGAAAATTTAAGATAGTAGCTCACGGATTATTCGATTGATTGATAAAATAATTGAAAGTTAGAGGAATTATTAATTGTGTATTCAATACGGTTCTTGTCATCAAATTTCTCAAGATTAGATTCAAAGTATTCATTTTATTTCAACAAAGACTCAGACGAAAAGCTCTTTATTTAATTAAAAACAAACAGGCATAGAATGCGTTTGTTACTTTAATGTTTTGTAGCAACGAACATCGATCAATGAATCATGAAGAAATGAATAAAATCCATAAGATTCGAATATTTGCTTAGTGATCATGGTTAAAAGTAAAACTGATTTATATACAAATGTTTCAAAATAATTTGACAAGAGTCATATAAAAACTTGCTGAATGATCTAGCATTGCTGCAACTAAAAAGCAGAGAGTAGCATATTGAACGAACATCGATTATTCCATAATTCATACCATCAACATATATTCCAAACGCTTGTCAATCCGTATACTTGACAGAACTAATTCAATATTGTGAAAGTAATTTTTCATTTTGATAGAAAATGAGTAGATTTAGAAGTTTATATATCGAAAATTTTATAGAAGTCAGAAATATCTTTTGGGCTATGGGTGTGAGTGTTGGGATGAGTTCAGAGAAATGCTACGCACTCACACCCTATCATTCACTACTAATTTTTTTCTATTCATATATATAGTTCGCAAGGCATACAAGATATGGATGCGAAGCAAGTAAGTCTGTCATTAGTCCTTAGAACATTCACCCTAAGTATCCATTCAATAGAAATCTTCGAGTTCTTCATGAAACCATCGACTGTGTAGTTGTTAACAACGGTTGAGTGAATCACTAAGGTTTCTTGCAGAAAAAAACTGATTCTTGACCGTAGTTAGCCGGTTTTCTAAAGACAGGAGCATCAAATTGGGCTCAAAAGCTCTTCAATCGATAGAAAATGTCTAGTTCTACTTAGAAAGTTGCATAAGAGTATTGGAAAGTCCTTCTGGGTCAACTCTGTCCGATTTTACGAGAACACCTAGGTCTCCGCCTTTTTTTGCTAATTTCCTTCGTTCGAGAGCATTTGATTGTGCTTCAAAGGCGTCCTCTCTATAGAGCTTGTCAAGGTCTACATGGAAAATTATATGTTTGAGTTTCAAAGTACTCCTAGGCAAATCATTATGGCTTTTATTGAAAAACTGAACAATTAAGCTCTAGATTACGCATTTTTCTGGCCAGTGTAGCATTGAATCAAGTTCCAAAGGTGTTCATTTGAGGTTGTGCATGTGAGTATGAGTGGATATGGGCGTGTGCAGGTATACGTGTGGGTTGGGACTTAGGTGTGGGTGGGTATGAGGGTAGAAGACAAAATATACAGTCACACCCACACGCACACCTACACCCACAGCTCACCCATACCCACACACCCACACTCACACCCACATGTTGACATATTACGCTAATAAAAGTTCGTTGAATATCATTTTTTGATAAAACGAATTTCATTATTAGTATAAGTACCATGGATAAATGTAGTTCGGTTTTAAATAGTAATATACAGAGATAATTGCCCAAGATTTGGCATACAACAAAAAAGAATTAAAATTTGAGGATCATATGGATCAATTAAATAGTAGGACATTTTGAAAAAGAAGCATGTCAAATTAAGTAGATCATTCTAGAGAATATAAACTGATATTTATTAATACAATATTATCAATTAAAAATTGAGAAAAACTGCCGATAAATAATTGACTGAGGGTGTGGGTGTGGGTGTGGGTGTGGGTGGGTGTGGAGTGTGGGTGTGGGGTGTGGGGTGTGGGGTGTGGGATGTGGGTGCGGGTGTGGGTGGGTGTGGAGTGTGGGTGTGGGTTGGTGGGGTGTGGGTGTGGATGTGGGGTGTGGGGTGTGGGATGTGGGTGCGGGTGTGGGTGGGTGTGGAGTGTGGGTGTGGGTTGGTGGGGTGTGGGTGTGGGGTGTGGGGTGTGGGTGTGGGTGTGTGGGTGTGGTGTGCGTGTGAGTGTGGGTGTGGGTATGGATGTGAGAGAACAGAAGGTCACACCACACCAAAGTTGTGATGCATATAATAGCATCGATTAAATTTATCAGACGAACATAGACGTTCAACAGTTTAGTAATAATGTTGATCAGAAAAACTGTTCGAACATTCTTTTGAAAGGAGCTAATTTGTTCATATGGTTTCTTTTGGAGAAGACAAATGTCTGGAAATAGTTTTGAGGATAGTTTACACACAGACAAGTTCTGATCAAAACAAATTTTCAACAATTGAGGGTGTGGGTGTATCTTTATCTTCTTCATTCACCCATACCCGCACTTACATCCAGATCCAGACCCACACCCCACACCCACACCCACACCCCACACCCACACACCCATACCCACACCCACCCTCGTAACTGAGAAAGAACTTCGTCAAGTAATTAATCATCTTCGAACATTTGATCGTTGTGATAAATATGACAAATACCTTCGACGAATTACTAAAGAAAAAGTTATACTCATTGTATCAGGTTCATTAGGCCGACAAATCGTACGCCCACTTCATGATCTTCCACAATTTTTCTAGATACTATGTCTTTTGCCAAGATCAGCAAACGAACGAAATATTGGTAAATAAATATAACAAGGTTAAATATTTTATAATAATTTCAGTCTCATATTTGTCTTACATATGTTAGATCAATGGAGTTTTTATTGAACGTGTTAAACTCATTGATCAAATATCGAAAGATCAAATAGTTCGAAGTAAAATAGAAGAAGGTGCATCAATATCAGTAATTATCTCTGGTTCTCAATCTCTTCAAGCTTGTAATGCTATTGTGGAACTCACGTATATTTCCGAAGAAAATAGTGATTGTAAGTTTTAAGTTCCAGGTTTTTCGGTTCCCCCACCCCATTACAGACAGGTCACCATTATATACCTCAGCAACCGCGCATAGAAGGCTTTAGATTCTATATAATATATCAATGCTTTCATTAATATTCGAAAAAAAACTATTTTGCAGTTTAAAAATCAGGCATCAGGATAACAAGTTTAAAAGATATACGTGAGTTCCACATTTCAACTCCTTTGGAGCTGCGCTAACAAGTTTTTTTTTGTGCCTTCAATTGTTCATTGAAGTTCTTCGTATGCATCATAAATCTAATGATTGTAAAGATCTTTTGAATATTTGTCAAGTTATTTATGATGGTAATGCACCAGAGATGAAAAATATTGATGGATTTGAAGAATTATTAAGAAGAAAATGCAATATGATGGTATACACGTGAATCATGTTTTTATCGAATGATGAATAAAGTATTACATGCTCAAGATTTTGATATGTTATTTGCTCTTCGATTTTTTACTACTGATATTACTAAATAAATTAAAAGTGAACATGAAAAATTTATTCGTAGTAGTGAAAACCGAAATATTATTCGAGTTTATCGTGGTCAACTTATAGAATATGATGAACTTGAATTACTAAAAAAATATTGGTGAATTCGTTTTTATCGGGAACTCGTAATCGATCGACTACACTTCGTTTTGCTCGAATTACTCGTACAACAGACAATGCTCAACCGATTATATTCGAAATCAAAATTGATCTACATTTACAAACGAAAACTTTTGCTGATATTACTCAAATGAGTTATTTTCAAAATGAAGATGACGTATTGATTTTACTTGGTGCATTATTTCGAATTGATGAACTAAATGGAGATAAAAAGGAATGGATGTGGGTAGGTCGTATCTCACTAGCAAACGAAGATGATTATCATTTGAAAGAAACATTTTCTTATACGAAAAGTACAATTAGTAATGATACTGATTTAGATTCTCTCGGTAAGATTCTAATAGAAACGGGTGAATACGAACAAGCACAAAAATACTATAGAAGAATGCTCAATGAAATTCAACTTACTACTGCAACTGCCGAATTAAGTTTAGGTAGAGCTGATGGACGATGCAA